ATGATGAAGTCAAGGCACGAAAGGGAATGAATGAGCTCTTCATGAAAGACAATGCTAGGTCCTTAGGAGGAACCACAATCTTAAGTGTGACTTCCATCACTAGCAGAAGTGCCAGCCACATAACAGAGTTCTCAAGTATGTCTCCCAAAAGAGAGGAATTAGCTGAACAACTCGCTGCCAAAAGAGCAGAAGTTGAGATGGGATCTGCCCCTGAGGCTCAGCGTCTACGGTTGGCCGAAATGGAGGCTCAGCACCATAAAATGGAAGCTGAAATGGAGGCTCAGTTCCATAAAATGGAAGCTGAAATGAAAAGTCTGGAAAGGCAGAAGGAAGTTAAGATTATAGAAGCCAGACTCAGAGTGCATGAAGAGGATACGAATCAGGGTAGTCATAGATCCAAATCAGTACTAAGTGGAGAAGCTTACTCCTACGTTCTTCCTTACGCCCAGGAAAATGGAAGGAAATCTCCAGCATGTAGTGAAGAAATAAGTTATAGTCCTTCCATCCCTACGCAGAGAGAAAAGAAGAGAGACTCACCTGATTCAGAACAAAGTGGAAAAAGAGAACCAGATAATTCAACTCCCATATGTCATGACAGAGGTCACGAGGATGTTACAACTGTTGACCTGGCGAAACCTCAGAGAAGATTTCTCACTAGACTTCCTGTTCCGGAACCTACTGTATTCTCCAGAGACGTACTGAAGTTTATAGAGTGGAAGGCAAGTTTTGAAATGATCATTGAACATCATTGCTCCCGTCCAGTGGACAAGTTATTCTACCTCCAGCGGTATACTGGTGGAGAAGCAAAAAAGGTTCTTGAAGGTAACTTCTATAGGAAAGATGAAGAAGCCTACAAGCAAGCTTGGTAAAAATTAAATGCAAGATATGGTCATCCCTTCTTAGTGCAAAGAGCTTTCAGAGAGAAGTTGATAAACTGGCCTAAAATAGGTCCTAAAGAACACTTCAAGCTCCAAGAGTATGGCGACTTCCTGCAAGCATGCAGCAATGCTATCCCACATGTTCAAGGAGTAGAAGTATTGAACGACTATCTAGAAAACCACAGGATGCTAGCCAAGCTACCAGAACAAGTGGCTTCTAGATGGAATCACTATGTGACTAAACAGTTAGATCAAGGCAAAAACTTCCCAAGTTTCAGAGAGTTCTCTGAATTTGTCAATGAGGAAGCACGGATAGCGTGTAATCCAGTAACAGCATCTTATGTCTTAAAACCCTTAGAAGAAAGGCCTACAAGAGAGATAAGACGCGCAAGAGTAACTAGCTTTGCAACCAACACAGCTACTAGAGGTCCAGATGCCCATGAGAGCAAGTTCAACATCACTACTGGGATCAGTAAAGAGTCGGAACCGACAAGTCTTCAGACTACCTTCAAGTGTATGTTCTGTGAAGAGAATCACTCCATACATAAGTGCCAACAATTGAAGGAAAGGTCTCCAGATGAAAAGAAGAGTTTATGCTTGATAATCAGCTGTGTTTTGGATGTTTAAGTAAAGGCCATATTACTAAAGAATGCAAGAAAAGGGCCACTTGCAGCGTTTGTAAAGGACGTCATCTTTCCCCACTACATGAAGAACGTCCAAAGAAAGAGAAATTCTTAATGCCCAAGGACACTGAGGAAGAAAATAAAGCAACAGTATTCTCTTGCAGAGTGAAAGAAAGAGAAATCAAGGGCATGTCAATGGTTGTACCAGTGTGTATTTCAAATCCTAAAAGGAAGAACAAGAAGGTATACGCCTATGCGCTACTGGATGCCTAGAGTGACGTCACGTTCATTGATCAAGAAATCTGCAAGAAATTACAAGTGGCCACAGAACCAGTGAAACTCAAACTCACTACAATGACGGGAAGAGACACATTGGTGAACAGTCAAAGAGTCAAAGGACTGAAAGTTAGAGGACTCCACTCAAACTGCATATTAGATCTACCTCCAGCTTATACAAAAGACGACATACTTCTGGATTGAGATCACATACCTACCTGTGAAACAGCCAACAAATGGGAACACCTATCTGTCATATCTTATGAAATGTCCCCGCTGAAGGAATTTGGTGTTGGACTGTTGATAGGCTACGACTGTCCCGAGGCCTTGGTGCCACGAAAGGTAGTTGAAGGAGGTAAGGGTGAACCCTACGCAGTCCAAACTGATCTAGGATGGGGTATTGTTGGAGGAAAACGACAGATTGCAGATTCAGGACAGGTGACAAGATTGTGTCATAGAATATCTGTCCAAGAGTTACCAACTGTAAGTTCAGCAAAAGTACTCAAAATCCTAGAATCTGACTTTGCAAACGTAAGGTCTAATGAAAAGAGCATATCCCAAGAGGACATAAAGTTTGTACAAGCTCTAGAACAGTGGTTCTCAACCTTTCTAATGCCGCGACCCCTTAATACAGTTCCTCATGTTGTGGTGACCCCCAACCATAAAATTATTTTCATTGCTACTTCATAACTGTAATTTTGCAGTGGGAGGAGTAGTGCCATGTCATTGGTGTCAGTGGAAGGAGTAGTGCCCCATCACTGATGTCAGTGGGATGAATAGTGCCCCATTGTTGGTATCAGTGGGAGGAATAGTGCCCCATCACTGGTGTCAGTGGGAGGAATAGTGCCCCATCACTGATGTCAGTGGGATGCATAGTGCCCCATCACTGATGTCAGTGGGAGGAATAGTGCCCCATCACTGATGTCAGTGGGATGAATAGTGCCCCATCACATTGGTGTCAGTGGGAGGAATAGTGCCCCATCGTTGGTGTCAGTGGGAGGAATAGTGCCCCCATCGTTGGTGTCAGTGGGAGGAATAGTGCTCCATCGTGGTGTCAGTGGGAGGAATAGTGCCCCATCGTTGGTGTCAGTGGGAGGAATAGTGCCCCATCGTTGGTGTCAGTGGGAGGAATAGTGCCCCATCGTTGGTGTCAGTGGGAGGAATAGTGCTCCATCGTTGGTGTCAGTGGGAGGAATAGTGCCCCATCGTTGGTGTCAGTGGGAGGAATAGTGCCCCATCGTTGGTGTCAGTGGGAGGAATAGTGCCCATCGTTGGTGTCAGTGGGAGGAATAGTGCCCCATCGTTGGTGTCAGTGGGAGGAATAGTGCCCCATCGTTGGTGTCAGTGGGAGGAATAGTGCCCCATCGTTGGTGTCAGTGGGAGGAATAGTGCCCCATCGTTGGTGTCAGTGGGAGGAATAGTGCCCCATCGTTGGTGTCAGTGGGAGGAATAGTGCCCCATCGTTGGTGTCAGGGGGAGGAATAGTGCCCCATCGTTGGTGTCAGTGGGAGGAATAGTAGTGCCCCATCGTTGGTGTCAGTGGGAGAAATAGTGCCCCATCGTTGGTGTCAGTGGGAGGAATAGTGCCCCATCGTTGGTGTCAGTGGGAGGAATAGTGCCCCATCGTTGGTGTATAGTGGGAGGAATAGTGCCCCATCGTTGGTGTCAGTGGGAGGAATAGTGCCCCATCGTTGGTGTCAGTGGGGGGGAATAGTGCCCCATCGTTGGTGTCAGTGGGAGGAATAGTGCCCCATCGTTGGTGGTCAGTGGGAGGAATATGCCCCATTGGTGTCAGTGGGAGGAATAGTGCCCCATCGTTGGAGTCAGTGGGAGGAATAGTGCCCCATCATTGGTGTCAGTGGGAGGAATAGTGCCCCATCGTTGGTATAAGTGGGAGGAATAGTGCCCCATCGTTGGTGTCAGTGGGAGGAATAGTGCCCCATCGTTGGTGTCAGTGGGGGGGAATAGTGCCCCATCGTTGGTGTCAGTGGGAGGAATAGTGCCCCATCGTTGGTGTCAGTGGGAGGAATAGTGCCCCATCGTTGGAGTCAGTGGGAGGAATAGTGCCCCATCATTGGTGTCAGTGGGAGGGAATAGTGCCCATCATTGGTGTCAGTGGGAGGGAGTAGTGCCCCATCATTGGTGTCAGTGGGGGGGAAGTAGTGCCCCATCATTGGTGTCAGTGGGGGAGTAGTGCTCCATCACTGGTGTCAGTGGGGGGAGTAGTGCCCCATCACTGGTGTCAGTGGGAGGAGTAGTGCTCCATCACTGGTGTCAGTGGGAGGAATAGTGCCACATCATTGGTGTCAGTGGGAGGGGAGTAGTGCCCCATCATTGGTGTCAGTGGGAGGAGTAGTGCCCCATCATTGGTGTCAGTGGAGGAGTAGTGCCCCATCATTGGTGTCAGTGGGAGGGGAGTAGTGCCCCATCATTGGTGTCAGTGGGGGGAGTAGTGCCCCATCATTGGTGTCAGTGGGGGGAAGTAGTGCTCCATCACTGGTGTCAGTGGGGGGAGTAGTGCCCCATCACTGGTGTCAGTGGGAGGAGTAGTGCTCCATCACTGGTGTCAGTGGGAGGAATAGTGCCACATCATTGGTGTCAGTGGGAGGAATAGTGCCCCATCATTGGTGTCAGTGGGGGAGTAGTGCCCCATCATTGGTGTCAGTGGGGGGAGTAGTGCCCCATCATTGGTGTCAGTGGGGGAGTAGTGCCCCATCATTGGTGTCAGTGGGGGGAGTAGTGCCCCATCATTGGTGTCAGTGGGGGGGAGTAGTGCCCCATCATTGGTGTCAGTGGGGGGAATAGTGCCCCATCACTGGTGTCAGTGGGGGGAGTAGTGCCCCATCACTGGTGTCAGTGGGAGTAGTGCCCCATCACTGGTGTCAGTGGGAGGAATAGTGCCACATCATTGGTGTCAGTGGGAGGAATAGTGGCCCATCATTGGTGTCAGTGGGAGGAATAGTGCCCCATCATTGATGTCAGTGTGGTGGAGGGGAGAATAGTGCCCCATCATTGGGGTCAGGGGGGGGGGGAATAGTGTCCCATCGTTGGTGTCAGTGGGGGGAGGAATAGTGCCCCATCATTGGTGTCAGTGGGAATAGTGCCCCCCATCATTGATGTCAGTGTGGTGGAGGGGGAGAATAGTGCCCCATCATTGGTGTCAGGGGGGGGGGGGGGGGGGGAAATAGTGCCCCATCGTTGGTGTCAGTGGAGGGAGGAATAGTGCCCCATCGTTGGTGTCAGTGGGGGGAGGAATAGTGCCCCATCGTTGGTGTCAGTGGGGGGAGGAATAGTGCCCCATCGTTGGTGTCAGTGGGGGGAGAGGAATAGTGCCCCATCGTTGGTGTCAGTGGGGGGAGGAATAGTGCCCCATCGTTGGTGTCAGTGGGGGGAGGAATAGTGCCACATCGTTGGTGTCAGTGGGGGAGGAATAGTGCTACATCGTTGGTGTCAGTGGGGGGAGGAATAGTGCCACATCGTTGGTGTCAGTGGGGGAGGAACAGTGCCCCATCGTTGGTGTCAGTTGGGGGAGGAACAGTGCCCCATCGTTGGTGTCAGTGGGGGGGAGGAATAGTGCCCCATCGTTGGTGTCAGTGGGGGGAGGAATAGTGCCCCATCGTTGGTGTCAGTGGGGGGAGGAATAGTGCCCCATCGTTGGTGTCAGTGGGGGGAGGAATAGTGCCCCATCGTTGGTGTCAGTGGGGGAGGAATAGTGCCCCATCGTTGGTGTCAGTGGGGGGAGGAATAGTGCCCCATCGTTGGTATTAGTGACACAAATGATGGGGCACTATTCCTCCCACTGACACCAATGATACTTACTTTGCTGACCCCTGCTCCAGCCTGGGCTCGCTCTCTCACTTACCTGTCAGCTGTCTTCCTTCTCTGGCCGCTCTCCTCTTCACTTGCTCCGGCAGCTCCCTCGGTCTTCTTTGATGTACGCGCGCTGCCGCTCGGCTCCTCCTCTCCAAGCTCCACCTCCTCGCCGGTGATTGGCCGCCTGTGTGCCTCTCCTGAGCTACAGTTCCGGTGGCCAATCAGCGGCGAGGAGGCGGAGCTGCTGAGCGATCCCGGAGGTGTGGCCAGGTGACAGCAGCGTATCATCCCGCCCACACATCGCCGGAGACTGCAGCGGTGTCTCGGTCCTAAGACCATCGGAAATATGTGTTTTCCGATGGTCTTAGGCGACCCATGGGAAATGGTCGTTCGACCCCAAAGGGGGTCGCGACCCCCAGGTTGAGAACCGCTGCTCTAGAAGATAATATTCAGCAAAATCAACAAGGTCATCTTGAAATGCCCCTACCTTTTAGAGAACGACCTCTGCCAAATAACAGAGATCTTGCCCTGGCAAGATTGAAAAGCTTAAAGAAAAGGATGAGAAGAGATCCCAAACTCAAAGACGATTATTTGAAATTCATGAAAGAAATCCTCAAAGAAGGGCACGCAGAGAAAGTTGATGGTCAGCCTAAAAATGGAGAAGTGTGGTACATCCCACATCAAGTTGTCTATCACCAAAGAACCGGATAGGATCAGAGTAGTTTTTGATTGCTCAGCAAGGTACAATGATGTTGCATTGAACGATCATCTACTAAAGGGACCAGATATTACAAACACTTTACCTGGAGTACTCTGTAGATTCAGAAAGTATCCCATAGCAGTCATGTGTGACGTTGAAAAGATGTTCCACCAAATTCATGTGAAGGAAGAAGATAGAGACGTCCTGAGGTTCCTATGGTGGGAAGACAGAGATACAGATACAGAGCCAGCGGAATACAGGATGAAAGTACACTTGTTTGGAGCAGCATCATCCCCAGGTTGTGCCAATTATGGTGTGAAGTATCTGGCCAATCAGAATAAAAAGGATTGTCCATCAGCAGCAAATTTTTTGAAGGAAAACTTTTATGTAGATGATGGTCTTTTTTTTTTTTTTTTTAAATATTTATTTATTTTTCAAGTAAAACGATACACATTTCCATAATGTAAAATATAACATTACAAAAAGCTCATAAAACACTAATTTCATATCATTTTCTCCCCCCATAACTCCCTTTCTTTCAACCCTCCCACCTCCCACCCCGCTTCAATATATCCCCTGACATCTATCTGATCGACTTGTATCTCACATCCTCTGGATACCGAGGCTTGGAAAAGAAGAAGAAAGAAAGACAGGCTAATTGCTATATTTTCTCCTTTTCCTTGGCCTTTCCTCTTTTCCCTTCCTTTCTTCTTATCCTCTCTTTCCCTTTTCTTTATGCTTACTTACTCAGTACCTTCCTTTACCTTTACTTTGAACTCCTCCCATTTCTCCCATTTCATATGATATGTCACCATCCTATCTTCCTGCATATAATAAAGTTTTTCCATTCTAGCAATCTGGTCCACTCTATTCATCCAATCCTCTTCCCTCGGTGCCTCAACTTTACGCCAAAACCTAGGAATCAGACTTTTTGCTGCATTTAAGTAGCACATTATACCCAGTTCTTTATATTTATTTCCAGGTAATATTGAATTATGAAAAAGACAGGTTTCAGGGTCCAGTCCTATCTCTATTCCAGTGATAATTGTGATTTGATTTCTAATTTTTTCCCAATATACTTGTATTTTTGAACATTCCCACCATATGTGATACATCGTGATGGTCTTATAAGCCTAGAATCCTCAGAATCTGCAATTCAATTGGTGAGAGAGATCCAAGAGTTATGCGCAAAGGGAAACCTGCGTCTTCACAAATTCATCTCAAAGGACAGAAAGGTACTAGAATCCATCAGTGACTCCGAACGTGCATCAACAATGAAGAATGTGGATCTTAACTATGATCCTCTTCCAGTTCAGAATGTACTCGGATTAGGATGGAATGTAGAAAACGGCAATTTTTTCTTTGAAATATCTATGCAAGAGAAAGTTCCAACCAGACGTACCACTCTTTCCGCAGTGGCCTCAATATATGATCCATTGGGATTCTTGGCACCAGTAATCCTCAGAGCAAAAGAAATACTGCAAGAATTATGCAGACAGAAGTTGGGATGGGACGAACCCATACCTGCAGGCTTGAGGCCAAGGTGGGAGAGTTGGATAAGTGACTTGCAAAATTTGAAAGAAATTCAGATACCCAGATGTATTGTACCTCCTGATTTTGGAAAGTACAAGAAAATAGAACTTCATCACTTTTCAGATGCCAGTAGTCATGGTTATGGTCAATGCTCCTACATCAGAGCAATAGGAGAAGGAAAGATACACTGTGCCTTGGTTATGGGAAAGGCCAGAGTCGCACCCAACAATATTCAGACAATACCAAGACTCAAACTAACGGCAGCCATCGTTTCAGCATCAGTAAGTCAGTTTCTGAAAGAAGAATTGGAATTGAAAATAGATGAAGAGCATTTTTGGACAGACTCACAAGTTGTCCTAGGTTACATAAACAATGAAGCTCGAAGATTCCACATCTTTGTCGCTAACAGAGTTAAAAAATTTTGAAAAACAACGAATCCAGAACATTGGCACTATGTTGACACAAAGCAAAACCCGGCAGATCATGCTTCAAGAGGCCGGAATGTAACAGAATTGAAGAATTCAAACTGGTTCACCGGTCCAGAGTTCCTTTGGGAAAGAGAAATCATACCTAGTGAAGGTTATACAGAACTGTCTATGGGTGATCCAGAAGTAAAGGTAATTCAAACATTGAGCACTGCTGCCATGTGTCAAGATGACATACTTGAATGACTAGCCAGATGTTCAAAGTAGAATACAGTCATAAACATAGTAGCTTGAATTCAACGCTTAGCAATTGGAATCAGAAAGAAAGAATCGTTGAATGTAGAGGAAGCTGAAGAAACGGTTATAAGACTCATTCATCAAAGATTCTACAGTGAAGAATTGAAGAGACTTAGTCAAGAACCTAAGAGACTTCCAAACAACCACCCGTTGTACAAGCTTAATCTTATTCTGCAGGATGGTATACTGAAGGTGGGAGGGAGGCTGGAAAATGCATCGCTACCTAACAGAGCTAAGCATCCACCAATTCTACCCAAAAATTCTACCTTCACAAGACTGATTATCAATCACTACCACAACAAATCCTTGCATCAAGGAAGAAGCTTTACTCAAAGCTGTTTGAGAGAAGGTGGTTACTGGATAGTGAAAGGAAGCAAAGTTATAGCGAAGTACATAAGTAAATGTGTAATCTGTAGAAAGGCACGTAGACCTACAGAAGAACAAAGAATGGCTGATCTACCAGCTGATCGTGTAAACCCATCACCACCATTTCTTTATAGTGGAATGGATTGCTTCGCCCACTTATCACCAAACAAAACCGCAAGGAGTACAAGAGATATGGACTGATATTTACGTGTCTAAGCTCCAGAGCAATTCACCTGGAAATGTTGGAAGATATGTCAACCGACACGTTTATCAACGCCTTAAGATGTTTCATAGCCATTAGAGATACTGTCAGAGAACTTAGATCTGACCAAGGATCTAATTTTGTTGGAGCAAAGAACGAATTGAACAAGGCTCTAAAAGAGATTGATAAAGAAAAAGTAACTGAGTACTTGTTAGAGAAACAGTGTGATTTTCACATGAATGCTCCAAATGCAAGCCATACAGGCGGAGTTTGGGAAAGGGCAAATCAGAACTGTAAGAAACGTACTAAGTTCAGTGTTGAAAAAGAACACCGGAAGATTAGATGATGCTTCACTTAGGACACTATTCTATGAAGTAATGTCTATTGTTAACAGTCGTCCACTTACAGTCAACAACATCAACGACCCAACAAGCTTAGAACCTCTAACTCCCAACCATCTACTTCACCTTAAGGCTGATTACATACAGCCACCACCTGGCAACTTCACCAAAGAGGATTTATACGCAAGGAAAAGATGGCGAAGAGTTCAATATCTATCAGAGCAGTTTTGGAATAGATGGAGCAAGGAGTACGTAGCTCATCTCATACTAAGAATTAAATGGCAAACGCCTAGAAGAAATGTTCATGTTGATGACATAGTGTTAGTAAAGGAAGACGACTTACCTCAAAGTCAATGGAAATTGGCCAAAGTCTTAGAAGCTCGAAAGGACGAAAAAGGACTAGTAAGAAGAGTATTGTTACAAATGGGAGACTCCAAACTTGACAAAAAGGGAAAACGTCTCACAACTCCACTCAAGTTGGAACGTCCAATACAAAAGTTAGTTGTTCTGCTTGAGAGTAACAAAGACACTTGAGAGTTGAGAAAACTGATGGAAAATTCCTCAAATTCATGTTCAAATCCTATTACTGAGAACATAGAATTATAGGTAATTTTGGTGGGAGTGTGTCAGGGCAGGAGCCGAGGAACGGACAGGCAGGCCTAACAATGTAACGCACTGGCTGACGACAACCACCACCCAACAGACCGAAGTCCCTCAGGGCGCAGAGTCTAAGTCCCAGGCTGCCCTTCACCAGGGCCCCTGATGGTGGGGATGGACTTGACGCAGCCAGGAACCAGGTCGCGGCCCCCGAGACACCTCAGCTGCGGTAATGGCCGCCGCCAATGGCGTGTAGCTGGTGGAAGAGACAAAAGAGTAGTCAGACAGGCCGGGGTCAACAACAACAGGACAAAACAGTACAGGACAGCAGACGAGAATCACAGGTCACGAGCCGGGTTCAGCAACAGAGGGTCAGATCAAAGGAGAATACAAAGAATAGTCAAGTCACAAGCCGAATCAGAATACCAGGAGAGTCACGAGAGTCAGAACAGAGTAATAGTAACACAAAGACACAAGACACAAGTGCAAAGAGCATGTGCGGGCCACAGGCTTATATGTCATCAGCCACGCCCCTCTGGGGGGTGGACCTCAGAGACCTGAAGGCATAAAAAGGATTCCCACCATGCACAGCAGAATCCAAGATGGACGCCAGCACATGGAGTAACATAACCTCATTGAAAAGGTAGGACCTTGACAGAGTGTAGCTGGCCAGCTAAGACCGGTCCTAGGTTGCTAATATGGTTCACATATATGTGTATACCGAACCTGCCAATAACCTCAGTACAGTGTATATGTGCATATGTTAAAGCCAAAAGCAGAATCATTGCTGTAATTTATGTCTTTGAATGTTATATAACATTTATATATTCATTGTGTTAGCAGAAACAGAAAAGGAAAATATACCTTTAAGAGTCAGCACATAGGTAAGCCAATCACAGCCAGCCTAAAGAAGCACAATATGCAACCGTAATCCATAATCCACAATACGTCTACCGTTTTATGTTATCTGACAAGATTGAACTGTTGAATCTCCTTGTTTCTTGGTGATTTTCATTCACCACGTGTTTGTACATGAACGGTCCGCTGCACAAGCAGCAGTGTTATATGAGGAAGAAGTTATTAAAGAAGTTTACTAAAGCATTCGGTGTGCTCTTTAAACCTACTGCATCCATAGAACGGCATTAGAGAAATTACAGAGTAAAATCAGTCTAATCAAACAAAAGAAACAGCAATTGTAATTTTTCTAATGCCACAGCGCACAAGGCACTACATAGTGCTGCACCTGCCACAGTCATGGCTTCCTGCATGATATCATATCAGTTTTTTCATTTATGGCTAGTGGTACTAGAAGTCTGAAGTTGCGGTGACCATATTGGAGTTCCTAGAGGTGAATCAGACAACTGTGTGGCTTGTAAATTACTGCTGAATGTGAGTGCAAAACTTTCTGAAGCATGGGTTTTTAATGTTAATAAACTCTACTACACTGAGGCACATTTTTTGACTTTATTACAGGTGTGAGCTGCTGAATGGAGGAGTACATTTATTAAGTGGACCAGTTGTTTGGTGGGTAATACCCAGGGCTGGTGCATCCACTATGCAAACTAGGCGGCCGCCTAGGGCGCACTGCCACCAAGGGGCACCTGGGCACGGCACAGGCCGGTACTCTCTCTGTGTGGGAAACCGTCATGTCATGAATGATCCTTCAGCTGAGGGAAGGGGGGGCAGAGGGGAGGAAGAAAGGACAGAGGAAGATTCCCGGTGTCTGGGGCCAGTGTAGCAGCTGCTCTTTCCAGTGTTTCTCTCAGACTCTGTCCCTTACTGCAAGTCGGCTGGCGGCTGCTGCTAATCACTGCTTTCCCCATTTCGTTTATCGGCATGCTGGAAAATCATGAAAAACGACTGATTTTCAAAATCATTGGTGGCACCATCAGATTACAAAACGAACAATGTTTTCGATTTTTGATCGAAAAATCGTTCGGAATTCGACCATGTATGGCCTGCTTGGTGGTAATGTGTTGTGTCAGATCTGTCATTGTGTGGGATCACTCAGTTCAGGTGTTCTGTGTGTGGGAGTGAGCTGGGCTATCTGCTGTCACAGCGTTTTATCCCTCCCCATATCTTGCCTGGGGAATTCCAGCCTGGGATCTGTCAGAGTGTGAATCCATCATCCCCCACTCACTGTAACTGTCACCCTGCTACTTCCAGCCACAGATACAGTTCATCCATGACACTGATTTTGTTTTTAATATTGGTGCTGGTGGCATCTTATGACACTTATTTTTGCAAATTAAAAGAAATTTAGCAGTTTCATGTTTTGTTTATTGAATATTTTCTACTTTTTTTAAAAAAAATTGTATTTATTATTTTTTTTAGCTGCTCTTGCTTAGGGCTCAAAATAGTTTAGCACCGGCCCTGGGAATACCTGTATGCATCTGGGAAGTGTGGAAGGGGCGAAACTGGCATCTGGAGTGGAACTGATTGTGTGTGGGTACACCGGTGGTAAGCACTTAGGCATATCATAGATCCTAGCTATTGGAAAGAAGCTCAGTGCATGGCATAAGTAAGATACTGACTTTTACACATGCCTGGTGAGGACTTTTACAGCACAGTATTGTGTATGGATGGAGGTGCATTATAGTTATGGACACTGAGAAGAGAACCAGTGAATAGCATGAGAACAAAATAGTTTTCCTGTCACATTTTTATTTCTCAACTTTTCACAGCACAGAAGTTTCTAAGGAGTGTATTGCTTGTTGTAATTACAGTTATACTAAACGTTTGTTTGTTTTTTTAATAAAAAACATGTTATAATTACTGTACCAGCTCTGTGCAGTGCTTCTACACAGAGCAGCTCCAATCCTCCTCTTTTAGGATCCCCTGCTGGAGCTCCTTACCATTGACCAGTTCCCCCAATAGCAAGCTGCTTGCTATGGGGGCACTGGTGCGTGCATGCTCCTGAGCTTGACCCTACCACCAAACTCTCTCCTTACTGGCTGTGATCGACAGCAGTGGTACCCAATGACTCCCGTTGCTGTGTCTCAGCCAATGAGGAGAGGGAGACTCAAGGATCTCGTGCACATAGCTGGATCAAGATGGGGCTTAGGTAAGTATTGGGTGGGGGGCTGTAGGGGGGCAGTACACAGGTGTTGTTACCCTCATGCATAGAATGCATGAAAGTAAAAAACCTTCAGCCTTTAGCACCACTTTAATTATTTTATTACTTGTATTATTGTATTGAGGGAGATTCTATGTTTTGAATATTATTTTATGTTTGATATATTGGTAAGGTATACGAGCATGGCACAGTGTATATATATTGTGATAGTGTGGTGATCTGTCACGATGTAAAAAGGATATTTCACCCAGGATTCTTAACAAGGCAGGTTGAGGGGCTCCAGGGTGCTTGTTTAAGTTGGTGGAAACTGTGTTTTCAGTTTCCTTGGTTCTTTACAAAACTCTGTTTGGGACCTGGAGCCTGGAGATTTTACAGTGATCTGGGTGGGAGGAAATCTCCAATCCTGGAACCAGGTATTGGGAATGGCCAGGAGACTGATTGAGCAGGTGTGTGTGGGTCTCTTCTAGAGTCAGGACAAGGGTTCTAGGCTCCACCCTCCTGAGGAGTCAATGTGGGTGTAAGGGAGCAGCCACAAGTGTGCATGGTGGCACAGTATAGTCTGACAGAGCAGACAGGGCCCAAGCCTGTGGGCTGGAGAAGCAGGAATGCTGGGAAAGGACGCTAACCAAGGCACAGCATTTGTATGTGAATGGTCAAGAGGACCGAGGCATAAAGCCTGAGCAGCGGTGCTGCTAAAGAGAGCTAGGAAGCTGAATCTTTTTCTTTGGCATTGAATCCTAAACTGGAGCCAACATCTTTCATAATTAATATTCTGGTCCATAACTTCCCATCTGCACAAGCGACAGTCCACTCGTGGGTATATTATTATGCAGACAAGCCTGGGGATTATTTAGATATGAATTATGAAATTATAATTCGGTTCATGAGTTCTATGTTTCGGCTTCCCTGATGGTCCGAGATAAGCGAGTGACCCATCAAACTGTTCGCCTGCTCATTGGCCATCTGATGAGATGTCCATTTTTTATGTAAGTCTTTCATATTCCAAGATATGAGACATAGGGGAAAAATTGCTTTGAGAAGTGTTCATCTAATTCTGTCACCTACAATAAGCTAGGTTATTAGCTCAGAGTCCCTTTCAACTCTTGGGAAGGCTCCCTTATCTTGTTACGAGGTGTGAAATTACGCAGGTACTTTGGTCAGTGAGACTCCAATTCTCTTGGGAAAGCTGGCCTTATCTCTTCCTAGGTGAGAAAGGATACAGCTTTCACAGACAGCTCCGCACCTAGCTGGAGATGCCTTGGCAGGCCAGTGACCCATAAACAATACACACACACTGGCCACATGTCTCCTCTCAGTGAGAGGGAGGGGGGGTAGGGGAAGGATAAGGGAGAAATGGATACCCCTAGCAAGATGGGGTCTGCGTTAGTCTCTGTTGCGCATGTTTGCGAAACCAACTGAGCATCATTTAAATGCCACGGCCTTCCATGAGTATTGTTGCTGACCATGTCCATCCCTTTATGAATTACAGTGTCCCCATCTTCTGATGGCTACTTCCAGCAGGATAATGCACCATGTCACAAAGCTGAAATCATCTCAAACTGGTTTCTTGAACATGACAATGAGTTCACTGTACTCCAATGGCCTCCACAGTCACCAGATCTCAATCCAATAAAGTGCCTTTGGGATGTGGTGGAACGGGAGATTCGAATCATGGATGTACAGCTGACAAATCTGCAGCAACTGCGTGATGCTATTATGTCAATATGGACCAAAATCTCTGAGGAATGTTTCCAACACCTTGTTGAATCTATGCCATGAAGAATTAGGAAGTTCTGAAGACAAAATGGGTTTCAACACGGTACTAAAGTGGTCGGTGAGTGTATGTAAAATTCCCTGTAACCTTAACCCCTTGGCACCGGCGCCTCCTGGCTCTTTAAGGGTTCCAGAAGCCGGGAGGGTTTTAGGATCATGTGACCACCGTGATTCGCTGTCACGGCAGTCACATGATCGGGAAAGGTCCCGATCGAAAGAGGAGATCGGGACCTTTACGTGAGTACCGAACGTGTGTGCTAGGAATGCACAAGGCGCACGCGCTCAGCACATATCTTTTTTTTTTAATAGAACGCAAATGTGCAGCCGTTCGGCGTCTAGGCCCAGACGAGGCCACATTTGCGAGGCCGACGCCAAGAGGTTAACCATTCCTGTACCAATAACATTAACCCACCCTCCCATCAACAGCAACCCTCCTTGTAACCTCATCACTAACCTTTCCATAAGTAGTCATAGCCCTTTTTTGTATACTCACCTGCTCTGTGCTGGGATTCTTTCTTCCAAGCACCAACTCTTCCTGCACCAAAAGTCCCATGGCTGAATTCAAATGGTTTGTCCCCTTAGTCCTGGTTCACATCAGTGTGTTTTTGAGCGCTTTTTGCAGAAATGCACTACAGTCCATTTGACATGGTTTCCTATGGGACACATTCACATCTATGCTTTCTTTGAGCCAAAAGCATGAAGTGTGTTTTTGATGTGTTTTTGACGCGTTTTGCGTTTTTAATCTGCCTAGCAACAAGTTGCCCCCCACCCCCAAAAAAGGGCAAAGTGCATGTGAAAAATGCAAAAAGCACTGCGAAATGGACAAAACGCAAACTGCATTGGAGTAGCCTTTTCTTTATGCATTATCCTTTGAAGGTGTTCACTATAATCTGAAGCATATACTGTTAACATTTCCAGCATCTAGCAAACCTCTTTAAATAGTTCTATATGTTGTAAAGTGCATATCTATTATATTCATAAGCTTCTCGTTCTTTGTAATATAAAAGCAATCTTCAGTATGGAATATCTATAATTTTTATAAGGACACACATACCCATTGTGTAGGTGGAATACGTGTATTAGTGACACCATCCTTCCATTAGGTCACATTGTTCGTGTACAGGACATCACATTGCCACCTTGTCACGCACTGTCTTTCATTTTAATACTTTGAGTTGACTGCTGACCTTTAAATGTCGCTAAATGACATGTTGATGAGGTGACAAGAGTGACCTTTGAGTGATGCTTTCCTGGCTATGTGGCACTGAGCAGGTTTATCGTGCAATGCCCTGCAGGGTTTACTTAATGGGCGAGAACTGTGATGTTGAATGCTTTGTGGTTGGAAAGAGAAAGAGGTCTATAGCATGCAGGGTAATCCAGAGATGCTCTGCAGTGTTTTTTTTTATACGTGGGATGAGGAGAAGCATTATGGATGTCACCTGTGTAATATATTCTGTATTTATGTCACTTAGAATTTGTTGGTTACAGAAAAAAAAATCCATTCTTACCTAGGATGGCAGCATACCATAATAAGGAAAAGAAACAATCCTCCTGCGCTGCCAAATAACTGTAATCACCACCAAGTGGACACCTAATTATACTCCAAATAATGACAAAAAATGAATATATAATGGATTGGTTCTGCGCTACTCAGTGTATAAATGAATAATAAATCGACATATAAACGAATATAAATAAATCTATAAGTAGATAAACCCACACCTAAGTGTTCCAAGGACGGAAGCATGGTGACGTCATTTCCACAATGGACGGCAGCTGCCATCTTAGTACTCCCGAATACATACACCGTTTCTGAAGCTTGTTGCAGTGTATCTTGCCAGTATGGGTCTGTTTTAAAATGTGAGTAGTCATTTGTGTGTTTTTTAATATGTTCCCACCCGGCCTATAGCAGATTGACGGCCGGCTGGGACACTTGCCATTGTGACTGGGCATCATATGACGTCCTGTCAAAACGAGCCGCTCATGCAGCTGTGGAGCCGCACAGTGGCGCGATCTGTCACCGGCTGTGTCCATGGGACACAGCCAATGACATATCACTACACCAGCCCGTTGCCAGTGTCATGTCACTGCTGTGGCCAATCACAGCAGATCACGTGTCAATTGTATACAATGGATGGCTTCCTGTCATGCCATCCATTGTATACAATTATGTTGTTAGCTGTGACTGGCTAAGACAGTCACATGATACAGACAGGGCCAATCACAGCCCATCTGTATCATGTGATCAGCTTTGCCCAATCACAGCTGATCACAACAAAAGACTGAATGAATCAGTTTCATTCAGTAACAATGATTTCAAATATCAATGAAATACATTGGTATTAGCAATCATAATGTGTTAAAAAAAAAAAAAAAGCCCGATCACTTGCCCAGAATAGTTCAATGTTACTATGGTAACATTGTATTGCTTTGGTCACAGCATACTGAAAAATAAAATAGTAAAAAAAAGAAAAAGTTTAATAAAAATAAAAAAAATAATAGAAACATTTGAAAAAAAAATACAAATTCTATTATTATTATTATTTTCATCAAAGAAATGTAGCAGAATACATTTTGAGCTAAATTTATGAAGAAATGTTATTTATTTGCAAAAGTTTTTAACAGCAATGAAGAAAAGTGCGTTTTTTTTCAAACGTTTCAGGTGTTTTTTGTTTTATTTAGCAAAAAATAAAAAAAACTCAGTGGTGATTAAATAATACCAAAAGAAAGCTCTATTTGTGTGAAAAAAATGCTACAAATGTCATATGGGTACAGTGTTGCATGACCACACAATTGTCATTCAAAGTGCGACAGAGCTGAAAGCTGAAAATTGGCCTGGGCAGGAAGGGGGTATAAGTGTCCGGTATTTAAGTGGTTAACAATAAATTATTCAACTTACTACACTATGGGAAGTCTTTTTGTTTAAATCTTCCATGTGGGGATATTGGAGGTGAGAGAGTCATATGGCCATATCCTTATAAGGACATCTGAGTTACACCTGTGGATTGTTCACCATTTTCACCATGGAGGAATCCTTTGATCACTATGGAGGGCAATACACAGTGAGATCATTAAAATGCATTTTATGCCCTATGAGCCCATACGGGTCGCAGTTTGAAGGTGAGCACGCAGGCTGAGCACGCAGGCTGGCTGGTGGAGGATTGATTGATGATTGCAGTGATCACGGGATGGTTCACGGCTTGTGCTGAAGATTCACTGTGCTCTTTGTTTGGGACCTTACACCATATTCAGTTTTGGACGTTTATATGTTGTGTCACGTTTTGCTATCATCTAGTTTAATATCATTATATATATTATTTTTGGTCACTTACACTCTTGTTTATCACTGACTATTTGATTACACTTTGTGTTATGTTGATGCCTTATATTAATATTATTTGTCGATTTGTTTTGGTCACAATCTTGCACCTGTTTTTTAGCAGTTTTTTATCTCTACACTTGGGTGTGGGTTTATCTACTTATATATTTATTTATATTCATTTATATTTCGATTTATTATTCATTTA